AAGGATGGCCAGAAACACCAAGAGCTAGAAAAGGGAAATAACAAGTGTTGGCGAGAATGTGGAGAGCAGGGAACCTTGTGCACGCTGGTGAGAATTGCTGCAGCCACTATGGAAAACAATATGGAGCGTCCTCAAAAGGTAAAAATAGAACTACCATATGATCCAGCAATTCCACTTCTGGGTATTTATCTGAAGAAAACGAAAACACTAACTCGAAAAGATATGTGCACCCCCATGTGCACTGCAGCATTATTTACAATAGCCAAGAGATGGAAACAACTTATGTGTCCACCAATGGTTAGAATGGATAAAGAAAATGTGACACACACACACACACACACACACACACACACAGGAATATTATTCAGCCATAAAAAAGGATGAAATCTTGCAAACATGGATGGGCCTCGAAGACATTACGCTAAGTGAAATAAGTCAGACAGAGAAATACAAGTACTGTATGATCTCATTTATAGCTCACTTATAGGTGGGATCTTAAAAAAATGTTTAAAAGCTCATAGACACAGAGAACAGGTTACTGGCTGCCAGAGGCAAGGGAAAGGAGCTAGGTAAAATGGGTGAAGAGGGTCAAAAGGTACAAACTTCCAGTTATAAAGTAAATAAGTCCTGGGGATGCAATGTGCAGCATGGTGACTATGGTTAATAATACGGTATTGCATATTTGAAAGTTGCTAAGGGAATAGATCTTAAAAGTTTGAATCACAAGAAAAAAAATTGTAACTATATATGGTGACGAATGTTAACTAGACTTATTATAATTATCATTTTGCAATACATACAAATATCTAATCGTTATAATATACACCTGGCACTAATATAACATTATGTCAATTATGCCTCAATAAAAAAAATTATTTAAAGAAAATGAACAGGTGCAAATGCTAGAAAATTAAGGTGGAAGTGGGCTAGAGAAAGTGATTTGAATCCAATGGATTTTCCCCTCCACAAATATGTAAATCATTTATAACAATAAAATAACTTGACCAAGAAAAAAAACAGAGCTAGAAGAGGCAAGGAAGGATTCGCCCCTAGAGACTACAATGAGAGCCTGGCCCTACTGGCACCTTGATTTCAAACTTCTAGCCTCCAGAACGGTGGAAGAGTGAATTTCTATTGTTTTAAGCCACCCAGCCCTTGTTAAGGCAGACTTAGTAAACTAATATATTCAGCAAGAAGAACAAACAGAACTGGAAGTCAGGCATCCAAACTGGCCTCATGGGTGGGTATGGGACCTGTGGCTTTTATCCTTCTGTTCTTTACAACAGAGCAAAATCTATGCTCCTGGTTCTCTCTCTTTCTCCCTCTCCCTCTCTCTCAGAAGGTATGTTCCCATCGACGAAACCATTCAGTAGCAAGCGGACTGTTAGTTAAATTAGCCACAAGGGATGCTGGGAAGCTAAGTAATGCTACATAAATATCACCATCAAAGACAGAAATTATAGGCTTCCAGGAAGAGCCATCATAACTTCAGGGAGGGAACACTACAGACATCAGCCAGCAACTTGACTCAACCTTGCTCTTTAAGGCTGAGTCAAACCATGAATGCAGAGGCTAGGGGTCTTCCCCACCCTGATTTGCATGCAAAAGCCATTTCCAAGCACCCCTGTTCCTTCAGGGTGCTTGGCAGCACCACAGGTGCCTGGTAAATAGAGCAGAAGATCTTAACTACCCTGCTGAGCCAGTCAGGCACCAGCCAGGATTAAGCAGAGAGCTTTTTTGGAAAAGTAAGCAGGCTTTCTTTCATCTAGGTCTCTAGTTTTATAAGTACATGCTTGATGCATAATACACTGATTCCTTCCTTTTTTTCTTTCCTCTTTTCTCTTTCTTGACTTTTGCATAAAGTGTTCTCTCCTTTTGTCTTTTTTTATTACCAAATGATATATGAAAATGTTCTCATTGTAAAATATCTGAGTGAAATATAATTATATAATAAAAAGTGAGATCTTCACTTTCCTCTACCCCACTCTCTTCCCTGGAGGTAACCACAGTTAGTACACATCTTTCCAACCCTTCTTCTATGCACTTAATTCATATAAAATAACCTGTTTATTTTCATATAAATGAATAATTCGATATGTGAGTTTTTACTTGTTTTTTTAACTTTATGATGCATCTAATAAAACTTTCAGTGTCAATAATGTCTGTCTGCCTTTATGCCTTTTGATGACTGCAGGTATTCCACATAATTTATTTAGCCTTGCCAAAACTGCTGGGCTTTTTATTGCTTCCAGTTCTCAATGTTATAAGCAATGTTGCACTGGACATCCTTGCAAAATATATACCTGTGCTGGAATAAATTTTACTTTAGATAAGACTCATAGATATTACCCTGTTGGATCAAGAGATATAGGCATTTTTAATCTTGAAAGATACAGCCATATTTCCCTCACAAATGGCTTTACTCATTTATACACTCCCACCAGAAGTGTTATCCTAATCCTCATCAACTGGATATTATCAATATTCACAATTTTCTCAGTATAATAAAAATATCTAGTTTTAATTTGCACTTTCTTTGTTACTGATATTTAGCATCTGTTTATGAGTTTATTGGCCAGCTATTTTTATTCCTGTGTCTTTTCACATTTTTCTGTTGAGTTGTAAGAAATAATAATGCCTTTGTACAGAGTTTATTAATCAGGACAGCTGATCTTCAGCCAACTCTGGGCAACACCAGTCTCAGGAACACCCATAGTCAGAAGGATCGTTCTGAGGTCAGGGTAAAGGACCTGAAAGTCAGGGATCACTGGAGAGTGAGATGGGGACAGCAGGAGCTGTTCCTCCAAGGAATTACATCCTCACTGCCTACTTAAAGGTTGTCCGAGTAAAAGAGGCATGCCCACACCCAAGTAGGAAACTGTCTTTGGTTCTGCAACCAGATCCTTTTGATAAATTCATGGATGAGTTCCAGGCATTGAACACAGTTTCTCTGAGTTAGCATTGTATAAGCCTTTGTTTAATTTTTTTTCTTAATTTATATTAATGTTTCTAGGACATGAGTATAAGAACATAGAAATTCTTGATACTAAAAGACATCAACAACAACAAATCTAGGTTTGTGATGGTGAGAAAATTACATAAATTTGTTCACTAACATCCATACAGCAGAGGGGCTCGGTGACAGGTAAGAAGACCCTTGCCAGTTCCTAGAATCAATGAGTTCCTGCATCTGGTTTAGAAACTGAATTTCACACAATCCTTTTTTTCCAGATTTAGATTCCATTTGTCATTAGATTGAAATTGACCAGTAGTCATATGTCAGCATTTTTACAGCATTTTTATAAAACACTATAAATTTGAGTTGGTTGTTCAAATTTATTAATAATAGAAACAAAGCTCTTACGCAGCAAATTCTTCACAAATTTTTTTTCTTCTATTAAGTGTTGAAATACATCGTACTTTAGAGATAGATTTACATTTCAAAATTGCGTGTGGCTTAGGGAAAATATTTCATGACATTTAAAAACCAAAGTCAAAGAACCACTTACTATAAATAAGTGTCCTGGGAAATTGTCTAAATATTTTTCAAATACGTAAAACAAAATATCAAAACTTGGTAGCTAAGCGATAAAAGCTAGGCATCAGCTATGTTTTCCTCAGACATGCCAGTTCACTCTCATTATCCTGCATGTCATTCTGCACAAAGTTTCCTGATACCCCTTGTGCTGCTACTTATCAGATGCTTGTCCCAACCCTATCCCAGCCTCACCCCAACAGCCTGACCTCTCTGGACCCCCATGCGCACTGCTGTCCCTGTTTTCACCTGACACATCTTACTGCCATCTCCTTGCAGCCCCCGTCGCCCACAGCAGCCATGGGCACTCGCTGTCTGGCTGCCTAGCTGTCTTTCCTGCACTGGCCAGACAGAGTTTGCTCTTGAGTGATGGCAGAGCAAAAGGTGGAGAAATGGAAAGTGGCAGATGAGGAGGGGAAGGAGGAGAGAGGAGAAGGGAGAGACAGGGAGAGAAAAAAAAGGAAGTTAAGGAATAGACATGTTGGTTGCTAGTGTGCCATCCAGGTCCACGTTCTTCCTTCTCCCACTTAAAAACCCTGCCCAGAATAATTTCTTCATATTTGAAGAGAAAAGAGTCACCTGAAGGATAACAGGCAACATAATATGTGCTAACCTGATCTCCGATGAGAAACTGATTTATTGCTCACATTTCAGAGCCCTGGGAAAGTTGGCACGGAGGGATAAATGGATTTCAGGGCAAGCAATGAATTTGTGAGGTGCATTTCAGAAGTTCTCCTCCAAACCATAAATAAATGTAGGTTGACTACAGCCTGGCACCAGTGCAGGACAAAACATCATGCCACCTGGGACCACTAGTCAACACCCTCGTCACAACTCCTGAGGTAGATGACCAGGTATTCTAGAAAGAGGTTTCCCAAACTGACTTCTCCAACAGAGTGTTAAAACAACAACGACAACAACAAAAATCAACAACAAAAGGCAGGTCAAAAACCAGACCTTGAAAACAATTACCCAGAAAAATTATGTATGTTAGGGAGTGCGATGGGGTGGAAACTAATACACTCTTCAGTAAAGTTACCAGCAAGATTTTAGTTTCAAATACATCTGCTTTTCTCATCTCCACCTCTAAGACGGAACCTCCCACCCTGAACCATTTACTAGCTCCTCTCATAATCAGAAGAAACCAAGCACCTGATGATTTTTTTAACAGATATTTAACCATATAATCCAATTTCCCTGTTTGAATATGAAATATGAGGGTAAGACGGCAGGGAGAGGAAGAGACACAGGAGGCTATAGAAATAGTGACTGCCAGGAGGACCAAGGCCAGCAAATAAGAGAGAGGTCACACAGCTCTCACTGGGAAAGCGAACCCCCCACCCACCCTTTAACTCCAGTTATTTAACTCCAGCCATTTCTTGCCCGGCAGGAGAAACTCTGTCAAGAAACAGAATCCATCTTTGGACCTCTCATAACAAAAGTGAATCCACAGATTGACACTTACATTTCATTTGCTTGAAGATGGACTTGTTAGGTTCAAGCCAGTGCTGGGGAGAAAAAAAAAAAAAAAGCAGAGATTGTGGGTCAAATAGCTGGACCATATGATGCATACTTAATAACTAAAAGGAACTTAATAAAGATATTCTTTTTGCAAAGTACAGCCTTCTTTCCCCACAGATATTCCTCAGGGTTCCACCCTCTGAAGGTCAGCATGAACAATTTGGCAATAATAACACCACAGGCAGGGTATAAATTAGAGAATTAATACTACCTGAGTAGTATTCGAGTCATACAGTTGCTAGGAGAGGACAAGTAAGAGAACATGCACTTAAATGGGATGTTCCAGTGACCCTCATTGACGCCACTGCTCTGGGCCAGCCACACATGGCTGAAGACTGACATCTACGACCTCGGAGTCACAGTCCCAGGCAGCATCGGTGCCACGCTCCCCTTTCAGGCAGCCTCCTTTCAGGTTAGCCGGGGGCTCAGTCAGCACCAGCCCCATCACACACAGGCAATTCTTCGTGTGCGGTGGGGAGGAACAAATGATTTTAATTATCTCATTTCAGAAGGCCTGAGGTCATCAAGACGGAAAACCAGCTCCATCACAAAACAAAGGAACTCAAAGACCCGGGCACCCCAGAATCGTGCCACTGACAGGCATTTGAAGCAGACACCATGGTGGCCCCTGTGACCAGCGCTCTCCACACCATGTGTCAAGGTCGCTTCAACATGGGGAGAGCTGGGCAGCTTTTGATATCAGTAGCCATGACGTCCCTGAAGCCACTTAGGGGATGTCAGGAAGCATCACTTTATACATCTGCAGTTTATAAAAACAGTACGAGGGGGGCCACTGGGGATCCACCATGAGGTCAGGGAATCCTCACTGAAGGACACTCCCCCATCCTGCTTGATACTGGAGCGGAAAGAAGCGGAGGAAACTTGTCAGTTGAGTGCTTACACCTTGCTCTAGCTCATTTCTGTCACCCAGTAAGCCTCAAGATTTTGTATTATCACTTTTTTGTTGTTTTTTTTATTATTATTAGTTTCAGGTGTACAAAACAATGCAATAGTTATCCTTTTCATCCCTCACAAAGTGACAACCCTCTCCCCCCATCCATTGCCCTCCCACCCCCGATACCATACTTATCTATTACAATTCCATTGACTCCATTCCCACACTCTACTCCACATCCCGTGACTCTAAGTATATATAATTATACTTGACATACATTATCATTCAACATCAGCTTCAGAAATGCAGTGCGGTGGTCAGGCCTCTACACCGTCTATGAAGTGGTCTCCCTAACAAGACATGAGTCCATCTGGACCCCTAAAAAATATTAACTACATTATTGATTATATTCCCCAGACTGTCTTTTCTATCCCTGAAGCAATATTGTGGTTACCAATTTGTATTGTCTCGTCCCTTCCCCTTCTCCTTCATCCCCACCCCCTCCCAACTAGCAACCCTCAGTTTCTCCTCTGTGTCTCTGAGACTATTTCTGTTTACATTTCTCTTTTATTCAGTTCTTTAGATCCCACGTATAAGTGAGATCATATGGTATTTGTCTTTCTCTGACTGACTTATTTCACTTAGCATAATGTTCTCTAGGTCCATCCATATCGTTGCAAATGGTACAATTTCCTTCTTCTTTATAGCTGAGTAATACTCTGTTGTGTAAGTGTACCATAGTTTCTTACACAATGAGATACCACTTCACCCCGGTCAGAATGGCTATCATCAATAAATCAACAAACAACAAGTGCTGGCGAGGGTGTGGGGAAAAGGGAACCCTGGTGCACTGTTGGTGGGACTGCAGATTAGTGCAGCCACTATGGTAATCAGTACGGAACTATCTCAAAAAACTGGAAATGTATTATGACTATTCTTTGGTGTAATGCATAGTCATAAAGTTTAACAAGGGCCAACATTCGCTGAGTGTTTACTCAGTGCCAGGTGCTATTCCAAGAGTTCCCATGGGCTGTCATTACCACCTCATTTACAGATGAGAAATTTGGGGCTCAGATATTAAACAACTTGCCTAAGATCACCCTGTGAACAAACGGTGAGGCTAGCACGCAGGTGAATCCCGTCGCACAGGCCATATCCTGGGCTATGAGGCCTCCCAATGGACCAGTTCACTCTAACGTGTGTTATTCTCCTCAATGAACACTCCCTCTTTCCCCAGGAGCTGAAAAACTGAATGGTCAAATCAGTAGTTTCCAATTCAGAATTTGAGATCTCTGAGGTCTTCAAAAACAAGAATGGGGGTCTTTTAACTATTTCTCTTAGAAGAATCTAAGAGAAAACTGTACATTTACTCCTAACATGTTTCACAGACAAATTAAAATAGCAAGTTTCTTTGCTGATGGCCAAAATTATATCAATTCATTTTGGGAACCCTGGTCATTTTTTTCCATTTTTTTTATTGTGATAAAATACACATAACACACAATTCAGCATCCTAACCATTTTTAAGTGTACAGCTCAGTGGTATTAAATACATTCATAATGGTGTGCTACCATCACCCCCATCCATCCAGAACTCTTTTCATCTTGTAAAATTTACACTATACCTATAGGTGTAGGAAACTCCCCATTTCACCCCTTCCTCCTGGCCCCTGGAAATTACTGTTCTACTTTTGGTTACTTCCTTCTAATCAGAAATTGTTTGTCCTTTACACAATTATAATGGAACAGTGGAAAATTTATTAATTATACCACTTACTAGCTATATAACCTTAAGTAAAACAATTAACCACTCTGTCTCAATTGTAACGATTATAAAATGGGAATAATAATAGTACCTACCTCTTAGGGTTGTTGTTAGGATTTTTAAAGTTAGTAAAACGTTAACAAACATAAAACACTTAAGCAGTGGCTGGCATGTGAAAAATAATAAATGCTTGTTTGCTGATGCTATTGGTTTTTTTAAATAAATACAGTTTAATTGGTGGACCACATCTTTCAACACATGGGACTCATGGAGAAAAATAAAAAGGGTTGTCTAGGGATGAAATTACTTTTATAGAAATAAATAAGATAACTTAGAACTAAGGCAAGAAAACAATTAACAGCAGCCAGAGAGCAATGCCTATTACTACTATATTACAGAGGAGAATCACCAGTCATTTTGCCAATAAATTCTGAAATATAATTATGTTTTCCAAATTCTCCTTGCCTGGTATCCTTTGAACTCCTTAGTCCTTCTCAGCCTAACTTCAACCTACTTCTCCACCTTCTCTCTGCTTTCAAGGATGACAGGTTAAGTTTCATTTTGTGTGCTCACGCAGTTGTCGGTGGCGATCTCCCAGGGCTGGAAGCAGGATTCCAAGACTGGGTGAAGACTCAGTGGGAATGAGTGCTATGATGGATTGGCTACGTCTGCCATGGAGGGGTAGGGAACATTACTAAGATACTAAGAAAGCCTTAAGCCAAGAAAGTTTGAGAACCTCTGAACTATGGTACTATACAATTCATGTGTTTTCTTTTTTAAATAAAAAGTACAAAACACTATCATATATTTTCAAGGAGTACATAATAAGCATCTAAATATTTTTAAAGATCTGAAATGATACACACTAAACTGATACCAGTGAGAGTGGGTAACAGGGAAAGAATAGGAATTTAGGAGTGTTGCTCAAAGGAAATGATGACTTCAGTTTTTTCTGTTATGTTTTAACTGAAACTTTTTATATGTATTGGTGCATTCCATGAATAATTTAAAAATCCATTTTAAAAAAAGGAAAGAAAGAAAGCTAAACTCTACTCAGAGGATAAAGGTAGATTTCATGTCATTCAGACTCAAGAGGAAGAATTTCATACATAACAGGCAGACACCAAATCCAGATAAGCACCCAGGGCTGACACTGCGATCCAACTTAGAAGCCAGCAGGCCTGGATTCGAATCCTAGCTCTGCCAATTACTAATGATGTGACCTCCAACAAGTTCCTCTGTTGCCTCACAACATCATTGTGAGGTTTAAAGGGTTAATTCATTAAGAAGCCCTTAGAATAGAGCTTTGAGGAGAGTGAAGGCTCAGTAAACACCATCTGCTCCAGTCTTCTTCAAGTTCACTGAGAGACCCCCTAAGGTGGTGCAATGGCCCCTCTTGATGAGCTCACCTTTGTCATTCTCTTTCTCTGTCACCCCTCACCCCATCTGCCCTCTGCTTTACATGAACAGATAATTTTCCTCCTATTTTTCATTCTCCCCTTTAGAGTTATGAGCCAGGCAATGAAGTCAAGTCTGGAGGAAAATAACTACCATGATGCACTTGGTAATTAGATATAAGAACATCTATTGCATTGCTATTTTCCTTTCAATTGCTACTTGGAATATATGCTTTTTTGTTTGTTTGTTTAATTCTGTTTTCTTACTGGAAACTGATACTCCCTAAGATAGGCAGGAAAGAAAGTCTGCCAACCAAATATCTGAATTTATGCCTCGTGTACTGTAACTGAAACCTTCATTTCCTCAACTCTAATTTAGAATAAAAATTCCAAAGACTAAGGAAGCTAAGACCCAATCATTGATTCTATCTAATGAGCTTAGGGAGTAAGATGAAACAGAGGATGCATCCCAAAGCATGATTTGAAGGTATCAGGAAGGCATCTGCAGAGACATTGTCAGGACTCTTTCAGGTCCCGTCAGATGCCCTTTTCATTTAGTTATACAAAAGTCTGACTCCTTTGGGAGGGCTGCCCTCAGGTTCCTGGAATCCATTGCAGGGTGGAGAACTGAGCGGGGGCTCGCCCCACCCCACAGCAGCTCTTTAATAACTGACAGGTATGGAAGGATAAGCACCTCTGCTCCCTCGCACCTTGGCTGGGACCAGTCCAAGGCAAGACCCACACTATTCCAGAGCTCCTCTGTGGGGTTGAGCCCACATGACCCTCTGCATGACTTTTCCCAACATCGCACACTCACATGGCCTCCTTCTCTTCCCTGTCCCATTCCCCCGCTCTCCTACAAGTCTTCTCCTAGGAACATTTCCTAATAAAACTGGAATGTTTATCTCAGGATCTGCTTTCTCAGAACCG